ATCAAGTATATTGTGACTTACCAAAATAGAATAGATAATGGAATATTTTCTCTAAATTTGCCAAATGCAAATGGACTAGACATTGTTTAAGTATTTATTGTTTGTACATATTGTATATAGTTTTTCTTATATTAGTTATAACTTTTGTCCTTTTTTCTTATTATTAGAATAGAAAGGGGAAATATGGTGATATTTTATTTGTGTTGAAATGTGATTTTATTTGTATATTAATAAATAAAAGTGCCTGGGGGTCAGAGCTAATAGCAAGCCATTTAGCAGAAGTCTGGCAGTGGTAGCAAATGCCCTTAATCCCGATCATATGACAGGCAGATCTCTGTGTGTTCAAGGATACAGCCAGTATGGAGATACATGCCTATAATCTCAATACCAAACATAGAGACCTGTAGGTCTGTATATACAGGCAGTGATGAGAAAGTCATGTGGTTGGGTTTACAATCAATGAGAAGGCAGAACAGAAAGTCAATAAAAGGACAGACACACATGAATTAGGTCTCTTTCTCAGGGGAAGGACAACAGTAGCAGTAGGTGGTAAGAAGGCAGTCTTGGTATCAGCTCTCAGCTACTGCTCTCTGACCTCTGGGGCTTTTAACTCTGCATTTGGCTCTGTGTTTCTTATTTAATAAAACCATTCAGAATTACATCTACACAGAATTCTACCAGAATTTCAAAGAAGAGCTAATACCAATACTCTGTAAATTTTTCCACACAATAGAAACAGAAGGAACATTGCCAAACTCTTTTTACAAGGCTACAGTTACCCTGATGCCCAAGACACATAAAGACAAAAACTAGGAAAGAGAATTGCAGGCCAATGTCCCTCATGAACATTGATGCAAAAATACGCAATAAAACACTAGCAAACTGAGTCCAAGAACACATAAAAAAATTATCCACCATGATCAAGTAGGCTTCATCCCAGAGATGGTTCAACAAATGAAAATCTGTCAATGTAATACACCATATAAACAAACTGAAAGAACAAACCACATGATCATCTCATTAGATGCTGAAAAAGCCTTTGACAAAATCCAGCACCCCTTCATGATAAAGGTCTTGGAGCACTCAGGGATTCAAGAAACATACATAAACATGAAAAAGGCAATGTACAGCAAGCCAACAGCCAACATCCAACTAAATGGAGAGAAACTCAAATCAATTACACTAAAATCAGGAACAAGAAAAGGCTATCCACTTTGTCCATACCTATTCAATCTAGTACTTGAAGATTAAGCTAGAGCAATACTCAACAAAAGGAGATTAAGTGGAAACAACGTGTAAAGGAAGAAGTGACCCAAATAATTCTACCAGGGAACTCCTACAGCTGATAAACATCTTCAGTAATGTGGCAGGATAAAAGATTAACTCAAAAAAATCAGTAGCCCTCTCTACACAAATGAAAAATGGCCTGAGAAAGAAATTAGAGAAACACTACCCTTTACAATAGCCACAAATAACATAAAATATCTTGGGGTAACTCTAACCAAACAAATGAAAAACCTGTGTGACAGGAACTTTAAGTCTTTGAAAAAAGAAATTGAAGAAGATATCAGAAAATGCAAAGATTTCCCATGTTGTTGAATGCATAGGATCAACATAGCAAAAATGGTAATTCCACAAAAAGCAACCTACAGATTCAATGCAATTCCCATCAAAATCAAAAAGCAATTCTTCACAGACCTTTAAAGAACAATACTGGAGTTCATAGGGGAAAACAAGCATAGTCAAAACAATCCCATACAATAAAGGAAATTCTGAAGGCATTGCCATCCTTGACTTGAAGCTCTACTATAGACCTATAATAATAAAAACAGCTTGGAATTGGCATAAAAACAGACATGTTGATCAGTGGAATCAAAGCAAAGACCTGAAATTAATCCACACACCTCTGAACAATTGATTTTTGACAAGAAGCCAAGATTATACAATGGAAAAAAAGAAAGCATCTTCAACAGATAGTGCTGGCATAACTGGATATCTATCTACATGTAGAAGAATTCAAATAGATTCATATCTATTGGCATGCACAAAACTCAAGTACAAATGGATCAAAGACCTCAACATAATTCCAGTTACATTGAACCTGATAGAAGAGAAAGTAGGAAATAGTCTTGAATGCATTGGCATAGGAGACCACTTCCTATATATAACATCAGTAGCAGAGACACTGAGAGCAACAATTAATAAACGGGACCTCTTGAAACTGAGAATATTCTATAAGGTGAAGGACACTGTCAATAAGACAAAAAGGCACCCTGCAGAATGGGAAAACAGCTTTACCAACTCCACATCTGATAGAGGGCCGATCTCCAAAATATATGAAGAACTCAAGAAATGAGACAGCAAAATATCAAATAATCCAATTAAAAATGGGCTTCAAATTCTCTACAGTAGAATCGCAAATGGCGGAAAGAGATTTAAGAAAATGGTCAACATCATTGGTCATCAGGGAAACACAAAATAAAACAACTCTGAGATACCATCTTATGCCTGTCAGAATGGCTAAGATGAAAAACATGTATGACAGCTTATGTTAGAGAAGATGTGGAGAAAGGGGAACATTCCTTCCCTGCTGGTGTGAATGAAATCTTGTACAACCACTCTGGAAATCATAATGACAGTATCCCAGAAAATTGGGAATTCACCTACCTCAAGATCCAGCAATACCACTCCTGTACATGTACCCAAAGTTACTTAACCACACCACAAGGACATTTGCTCAACTATGTTCATAGCAGCATTATTTGTAATATCCAGAACATGGAAACAACATGTATGCCCTTCAATGGAAGAATGTGTAAAGAAAATGTGGTACATTTACACAATGGTGTGTCACACAGTGGTAAAAAAAATGTCATGAAATTTGTAGGCAAATGGATGGAACTGGAAAATATCATCCTGAGGTAGGTAACCCAGACCCAGAAAGACAAACATGGTATGTACTCACTCATAAATGAATATTAGATGCAAAGTAAAGTTTAACCAGGCTATTGTCAACAACCATAGAGAAGCTAGGTAAAGAGGAGGACACTAAGAGGGACACACATGGATTGCCCCAGGAATTGGAAAAGGTTAAGGTCTCCTGGGTAACTGGGAGGAGGGAGTAGAGGGGAGGGGATGGGAGATGGGAACATCAGGGCTCAAGATGGCTGAGTTGGGGGAGAAATGGAGAGGGTGAGCAATGAAAGAGATACCTTGATAGAGTGAACCATTAAAGAGATGAGGAGAAATCTGCATATAGCGACAACCCCAGGAACTCACTAGATTGTCCCCAGTTAAGACTAATAGCATTGATGGAGAGGGTGCTTGAACTAGTCTTCCCCTGCACTCAGATTGGTGTCTACACTAATTGTCATCATAGAACCTACATCCAGTGACTAATGGAAGAAGATGCAGAGGGCCACAGCCAAGCACTTGGCCATGATCCTGGAGTTCATTTAAAGAGATGGAGGAAAAATTATAAGAAAAAGGGGGTTCAAAATCACAATGGGAAAAAACCATGGAGATAGCCGACCCATGCTCTTGGGAGCTCATGGACTCTGGACTGACAGCTAAGGAGCCTGCATTTGACTAAATTAAGCACCTTAATGGTGGTGAAAGTTGTGTGGCTTGATGTTTTTATGGGTCCTCTGGAAATGCACCAGAACTTATTTCAGGTACTTGAACTGAATTTTAGGAGCCCATTTCCTATGGTGCCATGCCTTATTCAGTCTTGATGTAAGGAGGAGGGGTTAGGTCTGGCCCCAACTTGGTATGCCATCCTGTGTTTACTACTCAAGGGAGGCCTTACTCTCTATGAGGAGGGGATAGGGATGGGATGGGGTAGCTGGGGTGGGAGAAGGGAAGGGAAGCAGAACAGGAGTTGGTATGTGAAATGAAAGAAAAAAATTAAATGAAAAAAGCTTGGCCAATAGCTCAGGCTAATTACTAGCTAAGTCTTACACTTAAATTAACCTACATTTCTATATATGCTTTGCCATGTGGCTTATGGTTTGTTACCTGATTTTCTACATATCCTGCTTGCTTGGAAGCTAGCTGGTGTCTCCCTTGACTTCACCCTTCTTCTCCCTATCATTCTCAATTTGGCTTTCCAGCCTAACTTTATCCTATTCAGCTATTGGCCAGTCAGCTTATTTATTTAATGGCAACACAGTGTAAAGGAATATTCCACAGCAGCTATGTCTCCTTCCTCACTTTTATAATGATAATTTATCTATATTATTTTATTTTAGAAATAAAGGAGTCAATTTCTGATTGTCTAAGTTCTCATGGTTGAAAAACTGCCCTGAGTCCCAAAAGAGACTTTGGACTACTTAACAAAGTTCAGGCTAATAAAGACTATGGAAAATTTTATAGATGCCATGAGTTTCTTTTTCTCTATGAAATGGATTTCATTCTATGGGCACAAAGTATGGAGTATAGTTATGTGAAATGGGGTGTAATGGGTAAATATTTTTTTGCATCAAACTTGTGTGTTTGAACCCAGTGACTTAATAGATAAAACAAGGAAAGCAACTTGGACAACCTGTCCTCAGGTCTCCATACCACTTGTTCCATCAGAGCACACTGGAAATGCCTGGCCATTTGTGATATTTACAAACAGAAAGACAGGAGATGCCCACTTCCCAGTGTACAGCATGACCTCCCCACTCTATGAAAAGGGCACACAATCAGCAGAGCCAACAATAAAGAAGTCCAGCTCCACCCTCATTAGACCTGAGTACCTAATGGACTCTACACAGGAGTGTGGTTACTTTCTTTTGTTCAGTGGCAGTTTCCTCACAAACCTTCTTTCATTGGTATTTGTTGTATTTGTTTTGCACATTGCATTTCACTAGTACTTTTGTTTACTATAACTTATTGGCCAAATCTGAACACATGATCATAACCTTCAGAGTTTAGGATGTGAAAACAGTTAACAGAAGGATCATTCTAGACAGATAGAGGAGGAAGTAAGATTAGCCACACCTGGTTAACCATGTTGATGCTTTATTTAGAACAAATTGAGGAGTACTTGAGTTTTGTGTGTGAATAGGAAATTTCTTCAAGGAGCCCTCTGACAGATGTTGCAAATGCAGGAGCCCTTACTTCAGGCCTCTTGAGTGGTCACTATGGAAGCACGCTGGGCCTTCTTCCAACTCTGTAGTTGCAAAACGCTTATCTCAGAAAGAAAGATAACTGCACTGAAAAGTGAGATGGCAGCTGTCAGAACCCCTAATGGCAGCACAGTAGTGCAGTATTTGGTTATCAATGCTTCTTCATTAACAGGAAAGTATGGTGGAAAGTCAAGAGTGGTTTGGCCATAATGATCTACAAAGTGGTTCCAGCTGACAGAAACCAATGTGAACAGGCTGCTAACACACAAAACTGAGGCAGAAACATTGTAGCAGTATGTTGCCATCTCCACAAATGGGTCTTTCATGCAGCTGATCTTAATAGCAACTACACCAAAAATCAGAACCACAGGCTTCATCAAAATGGCCCACACTATCAGGGTCTGTGCAATCTGTAACTCAGGTGAAATGATCCTGGTAGATTCGGTAGTGGTGTGCACCAGCATCTTGGTTACAGTCCCTGATTCATTAAGCTCTTGAGGGGAATAAGCCTCCCAGAGTCCAAAGGAAACAAATTGCAAAATGTTGTTGTCGAATCTCCACGGGCGCCAGCATTGGCTGCTTGCAATGATTATTTCAAACACCAAAGCTAATAGGCTGCTAAGAAGGGCACTCAGCTTGAAGATGCACCCTTTTCCACTGAAAAATCTGAAGATGAGATTGAACAAGGATATAGTCAAGCCGGGAACACAAGGGAAGTAGGGAAAACAAAATGAGTCGTACTTTATGGAGAGGTAAACTCTCATACCTTGGCTATGCTGTCTCATAGTTGTATTTAAGTAGTCTATATGTATTAGGGATGATCATACTACAGGTAAGAGTGTAAGATGCCCTAAATTCCACAAATATAGTAGAAGCTCCCTCTATAAGAGGTTTTGCTTATCAATTTCACTGTATTTGTCAAATGCTGAAATGTGTATATTTGTTAACTAAGAACTTTAATGCATGAAGTTAAGTCAAAATGAGTTTGCAATATTATATGTAAGGTGATGGTTATTTCCACTATGTTTGCAATAATAAAAATGATAAATAAATGGTAGCAATAAGCAGAGGTATTGTTTAGAATAATTTCACTTCTAAAATATGATTGTGGAATATTACAATCACTGAACTTACTTGTACTGTCTGCTGGAAGAACAAAGGAAAATGACAAATGTTTAACATGGTATATGCATATATATCAAAATTTCACACTTGAATTATGTATATTTCACTGTATGTGTACATGTGTTTGTTAGTATATGTGTGACTGCAGACCATGTGGGGAGCCAGGTGCCTGTGGTGCATACCTTTAATCCCAGCACTCAGGAGGCAGAGGCAGGAAGATCACTGTGAGTGAGTTCCATGCAATCCTGGTCTACAGAGTGAGTGCCAGGACAGCCAGGACTGTCTCACAGAGAAAACCTGTCTCAAAAAAAAGAGAAAAAAAGAAAGAAAAAGAAAATGATCATGTGGGAAAACTTGAATTCTTTCTTTTTTTCCCAGAAAAATAAAATCTATTTGTAAAACATGAAGATTCATAGATGTTTCAAGCATTTCCTAAAACTTACCCAAAGGTCCTTTTCAGAAAATTTTCTTCATTTAATTGAAATGCATAAAGCATCTTGTCTATATTGTGTTTACACCTATTTTCTTCAGCATAAATTGAGACTCCACATTTACTGTACACCAACTTATTTAGATCACTTCTTTGAAGGTAGTATTAATGCTTATGAAAAACTATGGCTCAAGGAGTGTCACCATGTCTTTGAATAGAAAGTCGGCTAAGGCCTCTAGACATTGCCATTTCCACTGCACAATGTTTGGGGGACCTACAAACTGGATCTCCTTACCAGGAAATCTGTTCCAGCTACCCTGTGCTCCACAGACTCTGTAGAATGTGCTTCCTAATTGGAAGGAGGCAGTTGCTGTACTACTTGGGAAGTTACACCTGCAAGATGGGTTTTCAGTTGACAGTGGCTTGTGTAATACCACACTCTTATTCCTTGCCAAGGCAGATCTGAAGCTGTTGAGTGCAGGAGCAGTGAATTTTGAAGCACAAATGGAAACAGAGTAGAGAATGCTGTTGTGCAAGGCAAATGAGCTAGCCTGGCTGGATACAGTTCTGCCCATGTCTGAATCCCATGGAGTAGAAACTCATGCATGGGTTTCAGAAAGATCCTACTTGAAAATCTCAATGGCTTATTTTAAGGTTTTACCTTTGCATATCAAGGGTGAGAAGAACCATTTGGTATATGTGAAGATCAAAAATGTCTTCCAAACAACAGGAAATGATGACCAGACAGGGAGTCACACAAGAGGCGAATCACCTTCAGTAAAAGAAATTATGTTAGACAGATATTTCTGCTCACAGCAGTGTTCCACCAACCAAATCCTGGTTCACCCAAACCTTTCCATTCCTCTCCTCTGTTTTGCTTAGTTGGAGCCTCATTTATACACTTCTGGGGTATTAGCATATTCTACATTATCGTCCCTCCAATGAGATCCACACAATCATTATTCCCATTTTGTAGATAGAAGAACAACATAGAGAGGCTTATTCACATAATGAACTTCAGGAAACTACACAGGTATAATGATCAGTGCTTGCTCAAGAGCCTTCATAGACACGCAAGTCTTCCCAGCACTTATTAAATGAAGCAGGATTTACTCACATGGAAATGGTGTCGACAAATATCTGAAACGTGTCACTGGCCCCTTTATCATCCCATGTCATGAAATTGAAACTTATTAATAGAAACTATGTAGAAAATATAAAATACTTGCCTATTTTCCTCTCTTATGAAGCACAAATGTTAGTGACTGCCCATAGTGACTGCCCAGCATAAGAGAGTGACTTGAAAAATTCTTATGTTTCCATAGCTACCAGAGATGTCACATAATGAGAACAAGTCAAGACATATATTCTTAAAGGACCAGAATAGTTAATAGCCACCTCATATCTGAGAAAATTTAAAAGTATAATTAGTCAATTTCATTTATTAATTTAAAATTTTTTCTCATACAATATAATTTGATCATTATATTCCATTTTAACACCTTTTTCGATCCCCTCTGCTCCCCACATCTCTATCCACCCAACTTGATGTACCCTTGCATTCTTTCTGTCTCTCCGTCCTTCCCTCCATCTTTCTTTCTTTCTTTGTCTCTCACTGTCTCTGTCTCTTTCTTACAACACACATCAAAATAATCAAAATACTAGAAAGACAGAAAAAAATATCAATGCAGAGTGTCAGTTTTGCTTTGGCATATTATTTCCTTTCATGAGGCCCACCATAAAATGTGGTGTGCTTGCCCAGTTATATGTTATTGTACAAAACTGACTTTCTTTTTCCCAGCAGGTACCAATAGCAAATACTTTTTTGGTTAGTGATGATTATTTGTGTCCACTGCATTGTTATAGTACTGGCATATAGTCTGGTTTGAACCAGTCTAAGTCTTATGTGTGCTTTCAAAGTCTCTCTGAGTTCTTATGTGGTATCAGTCCTGTTTTGTTTACAGGACACTGTATCCTAAGAGCCATCCACCACCTTCGACTCCTACAATCTTTTCCCCTCCTATACTATATAGATCACTAAGCCTTGTGGGGAAGGATTTGATGAAGACATCTCATTGAGGACTGAGTTCTTCAATGTCTCTCACATTCTGCAAATGGTCCAGTTTTGGGTCACTGTGTAAATTACCATCTACTACAGGAAGAAGCTTCTATGCTATGGCTGGTATAGAGTGAGGCACTAATCGATGGGTTTAACAGTATTCCTTTAGGAGTCATTTTATTTCATTGTCCCTTTAGCAGAATAATAACAGGAGGTTTTCCATGACCTATCTAATCCCAGGTTCCTTTCCACTTCACCTGGGTCTTCTGTTGGTTCCATCTCATGGAGTGGGCCTTAAATCCAATCAAAATCATAACCTTTGTGCCAATATTTTATCTGTATATCTTCTGGGAAGGTCACTATGGCAGTTCTCAAGATTTTCAGCTGTTTAATATTGACAGTTAAACCCCTCCTCTGGTAGCATGTAGTGTAACTTCAAGTACAATGAATACTACTCAGGAGGAGTGAAGTTTATATTTGGGCACCAGCTCAATTTCTCCATGTTCAATTATGTAAATAATTACTGTCTTTGTCAATAGGATCATAGCTTCATGTTGTGGAGAGTCACCAATAACATTGAATTAGTGTAGGATATTTTTGGTGGGGGGAGTTTATGGAAACCTTTTGGACAATGACCCAAATAATGCAACCCATTCCTGTCAGTAGAAGTTTTATTGGTGGTATAAGATGTCCAGTTGGGGAATTATCTTCCTCATTACATTGTGACTCCATTTGAATTCCTTTCATATATGTTCATAGTTTCAGAAGGTTCTATATTAGTGTTTTTCCATGAGGTCTTACAAAGGGCCTTTAGTGTTGTTTGTACATTACCATATTCCTGCCATTACCCTCTTCTCCCATTCTCTTGCCATTGAAGTTTCCATGTTATAACAATATACACCATTTCCTCACCTTGGATGATCTCCTCTTTCCCCCATTTCCATGCTACCTATGTCAACTCTTTGGTTATTTGATTGAAATATACATAAGCTTAAAATCTAGCATCAACGTGCAAGAGAAAACAGAGTATAACATGGAATATTTGTTTTGGGGGACCAAGCTTACATCATTCAGGAAGATTTTCATGCATCAAAAAGCCCTTATAAACCATGAGAGCCATAAAAAAGAAAATTTTCTTTCTTTTTTTTCCATATTTTTCTTTTATTTATTTTATTTTACAATGCTATTCAGTTTTACATAACAGCCACAGATTCCCTTGTTCTCCCCCTTCCTGCACACCCCCCATTCCCACCACCTCGAGATCAAGGACACCCTGAGGACTGAGATTGACCTGATAGACTCAGTCCAGGAAGGTCCAGTCCCCTCCTCCCAGATTGAGCCAAACATCTCTGCATAAGTCCCAAGTTTCAAGCACCTAACTCATGTAATGAGCCCAGGACCTGGTACCACTGACTAGATGCCTCCCAAACAGATCAAGCCAATCAAATGTCTCACCTATTCAGAGGGCCTGATCCAGTTGGGGGCTCCTCAGCCTTTGGTTCATAGTTCATGTGTTTTCATTCGTTTGGCTATTTGTCCCTGTGATTTATCCAACCTTGGTTTCAACAATTCTCGTTCACATAATTCCTCCTCTTTCTCATTAATTAGACTCCCAGCGCTCCACCCGGGGCCTAGCCGAGGATGTCTGCATCTAGATTCCTCAGTCCTTGGATGGGGTTTCTGGCACAACTATTAGGGTGTTTGGCCATCCCAACACCAGAGTAGGTCAGTCCCTGCTGTCTCTCGGCCATTGCCAGCAGTCTTTTGTGGGGTTATCTTTGTGGATTTCTGTGGGCCTCTTTAGCACTTTGTTTCTTCCTTTTCTCATGTGGTCTTCATTTACCATGGTCTCCTATTCCTTGTTCTCCCTCTCTGTTCTTGATCCAGGTGGGATCTCCCGCTCTCTTTCCTCAACGCTCACCCTTCGTTGCTCCCACTCATGTCCAGGCTGTTCATGTAGATCTCATCCATTTCTCTGTCATTGGGTGATCCCCGTGTTTTCTTGGGGTCCCGTTTTCCAGATAGCCTCACTGGTGATGTGAGTAGCAGTACAGTCATCCTTGTTCCACATCTAGTATCCTCCTATGAGTGAGTACATACCATATTTGTCTTTCTGAGTCTGGGTTACCTCACTCAGGATGATTTTTTCTAGATCCACACATTTACCTGCAA